TCAGGACACAGGGGTGCTGGGACGTCTGATCCAGAGCCTGGCCGGATGGCGCCGAGAACCTGAGACAGGAAGACATGACACCTTGAGCTCAGGCACAAACACTAAGGCCTGCTTACGGCATAGGGTACCCTCCGTGTGAAGCCTCAAGTTTGCAGTGTTGCGGCTGAGGACCCGGACGGCATCAAGAGATCCTTTTTCCCTCTTCCTCCTGTTGCCATGGAATCAGTTCTGACTCACGGTGACCCCATGTATTACAGAGTATAACCGCTCTGTAGGGCTTTCTTGGCTAACTCATTATGGAAGCAGACCACCAGGCCTTTCTTCTGCAGCCCAGCTGGGTGGGTGTGAACGACCAACCTTTCAGTTCACAGCTGAGTGCAAACCCTGTGCGCCACCCAGGCACCAAGGGATCCTTTGAGTGCTGTTAAAAAAGACCTCACTCAGCAAATCCAAGCTGTAAACAGGAAGGCCAGGAGACGTGCGCAGCTTCGTGGGACCGAGACTTCTCAATCTCTTTGAAAATCATTGTGGCAGAAACCGCTTTCTCTTAAACAATAAAAAGGCTCATTGCAAATTATTCTCATCTGCCCTTCAAAGAAAAAAGCTCTTTGATTGGAACAGGCCATTCATGGCAAAAAATGGGATGGGGCCCACAGATATCTATGGTGCCCCACCACGGAGCAGGTGTTGGATTAGACTGAGGACAAGGATGAGCAGGCTCTGCTCTACTTGCAAGTTTGTGACACAGGGACTTTCAGGTCAGACCTGGATTCAAATACTGAATTCTGCCACCCACTGGCTGTGCAGCCCTGGTAAGTTACATGACCTCTCTGTCCTCCTTGGCAAATGGGCCTGATAACATTTGGTGGGTAGCCCCAGAGCAGTGCAAATGGCTACATGCTCATCTGCTAACTGCTGGCATTTCGGGTCCACCCAGAGTACCTCAGAAGAAAGGCCTGGTGACCGACTCCTGAAATATCAGCATGGAAAGCCCTCTGGAGCACAGGGCTCCTGTGACACGCAGCAGATGCCACACTGTGGATCTGGGGACTGTGAGTTGGAACTGCCTTAATGACCACTGGGGGGGGGGGAGAGCTTTTTTAGATTGTTTTTTGAGTTAAAAGAGAAAAGAACACATAAAGTGCTTCAGACAGTGCCTTCCTCGTGGTAAAATGCACCAGCATGGTTGCTAAATAAACAATAAGGTGCCAGGGAAAGGCAGGAGTGAGGACGGTGCAGTCAGGAAGAGCTGTTGGCTGTGCCCTGCTGGGGTCTGGGAGGAGTTGTCAGGGCCAGGATGAGGGAGAGTTGGGATGACTTGGAAGTTTCAAGCTTGGTCTGAGGCCAGAAGGAAATGCCCAGGGCTAGTGCTCTGGGCACGGTGGGTCTCAGAGGGTGGTGTGTCTAAGGGGGCTGACCACTGGGCACACGCCCAAGCTTTAAGGGCCCCAGAGGTGGTGCGAGGTGGGTGGGGTGGGGTGATGGCAGTGTGTGGGGCGTGAGTGTGAGCTGACTGGCCTGGCTCTGAGGGCTTTGCTACGCTACCTTAGATTTGTTCTGCAGGAGACCTTACACATCAAAATGGCCAGTGTGTGTCTGATTCAGGGCAGTAAGGAAGGCAGATGTGGGAGGTCCTGGAGGTCAGAATGCAGGCAAGCAGGGGAGTCTGGGGCTGCTGCCTGCAGGGGAGAAGCAGGAGGGGTGGACTTGGGCCCATATGAGGCCTTATCTGGGCAGGAGGGCTCTGGGGTGCAGCTCTGGCCACGTGGTACTGAAGGCCTTGTGGCTTGACCTGTGACTCTAGCTGGCGGCTGGGAATGCAGGTCTGGGGGCTTTAGGAGCATGCCAGGGCTGGGTGGGAACTGTGGATTTGGGGTCAGCTATCTGCATGGCCCCAGGGAAGAAGCTTTTTCCAGCTTAGAGGAAGCGGCAACAGTGCCTTGTCTTCTAGAAACTGCCAAGAGCCCTGGAGAAGTCAGTCAGAGCTAAGGATGAGTGAGTGTGCTGATAAGGCAGGGAGAATTCCAGGGTCTCCAGGGAGCTGGGAGGGCAATAAGCCCTCAGAAAGGATTGATAAGATCCCCAAGCCCTCCCCCACTTTGTATCTCCATCTTTTCTTAGGGCTGAGTTTTAGAGAAGCTGTTTTTTCTACTGCAAAGAGCCCTGGACTGGGAGTTCACGAGCTCCTGATGGACCAGCTCTGGCATGGAGCAGTCACTTGTCCCCAGACAGGGCACCACATAACAGAGCCTTCCTTCAGCACAACATCCTCTCTAAACCCTTGCTGAGAAAGCAGTGTCATCCTCCTTTTCACATAAGAAACCGGAGCTCAGAGCAGTTAAACTCTACTCCCAAAGCACAAAGCTAAAAAAATTGGCAGAGCCAGGATTTGAACCCAGACAGTGGCCTGGCCCCAAGGGTGATGCTCTTTAACCACATCCCCACATGGCCTCAGGCACACAGCTGGGCACACGGGGTTCTCACTTCTTTTACGCAATGGTGGAAGCCACAGGTGACTTATTTACCCTGAAAATTGACCACTGGCCCAGTACGGGTTTTGTCTGTAAAGCCGCCCTGGGAAGTTTCACACAGCAAACAGGTGTGCATTGGGGGTGGTTTTTAGTGGTTGCGCGGACCTCCTGGCACCTTCCGGATCTCACACCAGAAAGTTTGCACTATCGCAGGTGGTGTTAAAAGTGTCCCAGCAGCCAGGCCAGCGCTTCCTGCTCGGGGGAGCAGGTGACAGCACCACCAAGAGGTGTCCAGATCATATCGAGGGAACGTGTTGGGGCAACTGAGGTCGGTGCCCTAGAACAAGGCTGCTCCCTGTATGAGGCACAGGGCGGGCAAGGCCGGGTGGACCCCCAAGGCCATGAGGGCCAGCGCCTGCTTCTAAGAGGGCTGCCCCTGGATCAGCCCAAAGGGATGCGAAGGGCAAGACTCCAGCCCCCCTTGGTACTTCATTCTGGGCTTAAGACACCTTGAGGGTGAAGTGAAGTTGGGAGACGCCATGGGTTCTGTGAAGTAAGTCTGACTCTATAAGTACTCATTAAGAAACATGGTTTGGCTCTGGGAGTGGCTGACAGGTTTGCAGAGCACCCAGGAAAGCCCTGTGTCCTTTGCTTTAACGGGTGACCAGGCGGTCTGCAATGAGCAGGCAATTTCTTCCAAGGGGATACTTGACAAACACTTTAAAATACTTCCTCTCCCTTCTCCTAAATCATTCTACTATCTCCTTTCTTTCCCCAACACAAAAATGTCCCTTGATTCTCACATCTCTCTACCCCTCCTCCACTCAGCAACCAGTTCCCTTTCCCCGACTTTCACAGCAAAACTTCTCAAAAGACGTGTCCACTCTCACGCCCTCACCTCCACTGAGTCAGGCTTCCTCTTCTGAAACCATGGTCCCCAGTGGTGCCCTTGGTGCCCAAGCCAGGACACTGCTCTGTCCTGGTCCTGTTTAGTGCTTGGCCACCTTCTCCAGTAGCTCCTCCTCCCTGATCCCACTTCCCACCATACAGGGTCGCTGAGGATGGGAGGAGACAGCACATGTGGAGTGTGAGGCTGGCTCCAGCTCTTGCTGAAGGGTCCCTGTGAGGGTCTCAAGTGTTCTCTTGAAACTTCTCAGACCCCACACCCTTCTGGTTTGTCTCCTGCCTCCTTGGCCACTGCTCCTCAGTCTCCCATGCTGAAGTCTCTCCTCACCTCCATCAGACCCTCTTCCTAGGTGACTCCATCCGTCCCCAGCCTTTAACACCACGCCCACATCGACACTTCAGACAACCCTCATTTGCATATCTGCAGTGCTGCCCCCTCCTAGATCCTGAGAGTGTGAAAACACTAAACAAGAAAACCCCTAAACCAGATGCCGTTGTGTCAGTTCTGACACATGGCTACGCCATGAGTGTCGGAGTAGAACTAGGCTCTGTATGGTTTCAGTGGCTGATGTGTTGGAAGTAGACTGGTTTTCAGGCCTTTCTTCCAAAGCACCTGGAGGGGGGACTTGAACCTTCAACCTGAGAGTGAGCAGTGACTGCATTAACTGTTTGCACCACTCAGGGGCTCCAGATGTTTAAACACTTCTACCTAAGATCCTCTGGTAGCGTAGTGCCTAAGGCACTTGACTGCTAACCAGAAGGCTGGCTTCAAACCCACCAGCCACTCCTCGGAAGGAAGATGGGGCAATCAATCTACTTCCATAGTGATACTGCCTTGGAAACCCAAGGAGGGGTCGCTATGAGTCGAGTCTGACTCGACAGCACATAACAACAACAACAACAACAACAACTTAAGATCCCAGGGGACAGCTTCACGAGCATGCCCAACAGGCAACTGAGTCACTTGTTAAGCACTGATTCCTGATTTGTGTCCCTACTCCGCCCATCTCTCTCCCAGCACTCCCCATCCCATAGAAAGGATTATCTTGTCATCTCACTTCAGCAAGTCCCATTGGTTCTACACAGATGGAATGCTACCTGCCCTTCCCTACTCACCACCTCTGGTCTATTCCAAGCCATCAACCTCTCATGGATCCGCTTCTGGCTTGCACTTTTGTCCCCTTTCAATCCTGTCTCCAGAGAACAGCCAGGGGGCTCTCAGAAAGTACATTATTATATCTGGTAGGACAAGTACCCTCCTAAGTTTTTACTGTTGGACAATCTCTTGATTCTTCTTTCTTTCTTTTTCAGGAGAAATTTAGAAGTAAACATGTTTTTGAAAATAAAGAATTCAGTCATAAACCAATCCGATCCAAAGGTTCATTCAAATAATATGGAGGACGATCTAGATCATGAATCATCCAAGTCACAGTTAAGAACACTTCCTCCTGGGGACTATTTCCTGTAAGTAAACGCAGTGAACAGAAACCTGGCTTTAGAAAGCAGAAGCAGCTGGGAGTTACGCTTCCCATTGCCAAGGGCTTGACAAGAGCCTTGTAGCGCTCCTGAGATGCTCTTTGACAGCCCGGCCCGGCCTCGCTGCAGAGCGGAAGCATCGCTTACCTCCCTGAGGCAGGTGTAGATGGGGCACACGAGCACGCGGAAGGGCTCGCCCGTGCTGCTGCGCATGGTGCCAAACACCTCGCACAAGAACGTGATGAAGCCCAGCCAGCGCTCCACGTCTTGCTGCTGCAGCTCCTCGCGCACCGTGAAGTCCTTCTGCGGAGGGACAAGACAGCCGTCAGCTCGCGGGGCCCGGAGGGGCCGGCGTGACCCCGCCACACTGCAGCCCTACTGTCTAAGGCGCTGGTCCCCACGTTCTGAACATAAGGGTGGGAGCGAGTGACCTGCTGCTGAGGCATGAGTGCTGGGGCTCACCTGTGCCACCCTGACCTGGAGTCATAGGGCTGCTTCTTCAGGTGTCCCCAGATCGGGGCCACAGCTTCCTCTCTTTCGGACATTGCCCAGAGCTGCTGTGGGTCTCCCAACTTCACAGGGGCTAGGGTGAGGTGGGGAGGTGAGGACACCCTTCCCAGACTCATGAGCTCCCCCTTGCCACTCCCTAGAGTTTACTACCTGCCCTTGACACTCCCTAAATCATGCCCTCCAGGTGGTGACCAGAATGCCTCTAGCAGCATGGTCGGGAATTCACCACTGAGCCCCTTCTCAGCCCCAGCACCAGGCTAGAGGCACAAGCTTCTGACCCAGCCTGTGGGGCTTGGAGGCTACTAGGAAAGCGAGAGGCATTCATTCCTTCATCCATTCATTCACTCGCCCTCCTTAACAATATTGCCCACTGTGTGCTAGGCCATGTACTAGGTTCTAAAAGAAGTCATGCTCACTCAAACTGTGATACAACACAGAAGATAGTAAAAGTCATCAGAAGGGTCTTGGTAAAGGACTTTGGGAGCTCAGAGGTAGGAGTTATTGCTTCCAGCTGGAACCTTGAAAGGCTTGGATTCTGACATGGGACTTTGGGGACATTTCAGGTGGAGGGAATGACACAAGAAGGAAGACACAGGGAATATTACATGAGTGTCTGGAAATAAGGAGGTACAACCAGCCTGGCTCCAGCATAGGTGGGGTGGAGAGAGAAAGCAGACAGAGCTAGGAGAGAAGTTAGGGCTAGAGTAAGGAGGGATGAAACAAGCCAAGGAGCTGGGTCCCATATGGTGGTCAAGAGGCCATGGTTATCCTTGTACTCTTAGGAAGGTTAACATGGCAGAGGTGTGGAGACCTGCAGGATAAAATAAAACCTGAACTACCTGGCAATGGAAAGATAAGAGTCCATGGGAGATTAAATTGTGTTCAGAAATCTTCATTTTTCCCTACTAAAACAGAGAGGTATATTTCCCCTATCCCTTGTCTTTGAGTTTGGCCATGTGACTTGCTTTGGCCAATAAGCGAGACAGAAGTGATAGGGTGCCAGTTCTAATCCAAGGCCTTAAGAGACCTGAAGTATTTATTCTCACTTTCTTCTGCTTCTTGCATTGTCATGAGAAGACATTTCTGGGTCAGTGTGATGATCCTAGGAGAAGAATGAGGGCCATGCGGAGCAGGGCCCTACCTAAGTCTAGCCTAGAGCAACCTACCTCCAATCAGTTCTCACACACATAATCTAAATAAATGCTTATTACTGTGTGCCATTGGGATTAGTTGTGGTTGTCAGCTGTGCAGCAGTAGCTGCCTGGTAGAGAATTGATACCAGAGACATTATCAAGGCAAACAGTACTTGCTAAGTGCTGAGTTCTAAGTTGAAAAGAAAGACTCAAAGATGGTGTCAAGATTCTGGGTCTGGATGACTGTGCCATCAAAGGAAGTACAGCATGTGAGGAGGCAGGTTGTAGAAGGTGACATAGGCCTTCCCCACGGTCCAGGACCCCTCCCCATTGCTCATTTCAGCTGAGCATTCTCCTTGGTGCGAGAATCTCAGAATCTTCCGAGGTGGGAGGCTCTCAGAGATGAGTCGGTTCATGTCTGCAAAAACGTGCTAGGTAGAGCGGCAGATGGGGCTTTCGGCTCTTCAGCTGGCAAATTAGGGAATGGGTGGGAATATGGCCAAGAGAAGATCCCCCAATTCAAGCTTTTGATGAGCCTTGAGGGTAAGCCTAGGTCACAACTTAAAACTGTCAGATTTGTGTCTATTAAAACAAAGACAAAAATAAAAATAACAGCAGCAGCAGCTACAATCTGTGAGCCTGACACTATGCCAAGTACCTTAACTAATGTATCATTTAATTGTCATAGTCATCCTAAGAGGCAGGTCCTATTGTTGCTCACATTTTATAGATGATGGATCTGAGATTGGAGAGCTGTGTGCTACTGGCAGAGCTGTGATTTGAGCCCAGGACTGCCTGGTCTAGAGACTAAGCTTTCCCTTCCTTCTTTTCTTTTCTTATAAGGTTTTTAAATTGGAAAATTAATACCTCAGAGCCCAAGTTCTTAGTTACTTTCCAGGTCTCCACTTTTCACTAAGCCATTTGCCAGACTGTCTCTAGGAAGTCCACTCACACGTGTGGATCATGTTGGCCTCACATCTGATCTTTCAGGCCTTCTGTCTCCTCCATCACTGAGTGTCTACCTGGGTATAACTGGGGTTTGCCAGTGCATGGATTTCTGTTGTTAGTCTTCCACCCTGGAGTCTGAGCCAGGGTGGGGACCCTTGAAGAGTCCCCTGGCCTTAGTCAGAGACACCATCCAGTGGGTGCCCAGCACTTTGATGACTTTGCATCCCCTCCCTGGTACAAAGCCTGGAGCAGGCAGCCTCCTTAGTGGTTGCCAAGGGGTGTTTTGGGCACCTGAATGAATGAAAGACTTTGCCTGCCACTCCAGAGCCTATGAAAGGGCCTTGGATCACTGGCCTCAGAGTCACAAATTTTGGGCAGTTTTACCCTCTTTAACCTTTACTTATCCTTCAGAAACCTTTGGGGTAAGGGCAGAAACAGGTATTGCCACTGTCACTCAAAAACAGAAGAAACTAAGGCACAAAGAGGTTAAAAGACCCGACTAAGCACTTGAACTTGAATGACAACCTAAACCACTTCCATTGCCTGCCCTGGAGGTTCTCAGCCCTGGCTGCACATTGAGTCACCTGGAGGACCTTTTAAATTACTGATACTTGGACTCCATTCAGAGAGCCTTGTGCAACTGGCCAGGGGCAAGGCTGGACACCGGTAATTTTTTAAAGCTCTCAGGTGATTCTAATGTGTAACCATGGCTGAGAACCAAGGCTTTAGGTCTTTATAAAGTGCCAACTTGGGAGCTTAAATGGTGCCCACCTATCAATATCTGATTCTTCTTTTCCCCATCTCCCATAAAAATATCTGTGAAGGACACAGAGAACAAGTCCCAAACTCAACACTAAAAAGGAAGGTAACACCAGTAACTAAAATGCTGTCACCAAGAAACTCTGGTTGCTCAGGGCAACTTAGCTTCCTGATCCAGAAGACCAAAGGCTGGAGGTGAGAAGAGAGGTATTCGCCCCTGCTCTGTAACTACTAGCAACTCTCCATCCCTGTGTTTCGAGGCCGCTCCCGTTGTCACTTTCTTCCTCTAGTCATTGGCGATAAAGAGCATGCCAGGAGATGAGGAGTCAGGGTGGTACCCTGTGTTCTTGGAGGGGCAATGCTCTTGGGTAAAGCCCTCTAGGGGAAGGAAAAAGCTTGGGGCCAATGAGTACCAGGGACTGGAGTTTAAAACAATTTGTTGCCTCTGACCAAAGGAAGAAACTGATACCATCTATGCCTATTCTATCTAAATCTATGCTGTCCAATATGGTAGTCACGACTACTGAGGACTTATAAAGAGGCCTGTCCAAATGGAGATGTGCTGTAATTGTAAACAAAGAGCCCTGGTGACGCAGTGGCTCAGTGCTCAGCTGCTTATCAAAAGGTTAGCAGTTTGAACCTGCCAGCCACTAGAGAAAGAGGAGGCAGTCTGCTTCCGTAAAGACCACAGCCTTGGAAACCCTATGCGGCAGTTTCACTCTGTCCTATAGGGTCACTGTGAGTTGGAATCGACTACGAAGCAACAGGTAAGTATAAAGCACACGATGGTTTTAAAGACAGTGTATGAAAAGCATAGAAAATGTCTCTTCTTTTAAAACCATTAATTACATGTTGAAATTTGAGACATACTGGGTTACATAAAAGTACTGTTAGATTTAAAATTCCATATATAACTTGTCACATTTATAAATTTACCACTTTGTCTTTCTATTGGATAAATTCAGCTAAACATTCAACTTAAAAATATCAGAAAACCACCAGCAACTGGGAAATGTAAGAAAAGCCTACTATAGGTAAAACCCATAGTTAATTATTTAGAAAATTGAGAAAGGAAATGATAAGTAAAATAAAGGAAGAAGAAATAGAAATAAAATTAGAAATAAGAACAATCTATGAAACCAGATATGGAGTAGATACAAAAGTTTAACCAAAAACTATGTTGTTGTTGTTATGTGCTGTCAAGTTGGACCTGACTCCCAGTGACCCCTCTTTGGGTTTCTGAGGCAGCATCTCTATGGAAATAGATTGCCCAACCTTCCTTCCGAGAAGTGGCTCGTGGGTTTGAACCTCCAGCCTTCTGGTTAGCCATCAAGTGCCTTAGGCGCTACGCCACCAGAGCGCCTACCAAAAACTATACATACATATAAAATATGTATATATACACACATATATAAATAGTGTTCATGATTTTGCAAACAATGACAAAATAGGTAATTGTTTTAAAAAACAAATAGCATAAAACTTTACTAAAAGTAGCCATGTGGGGTTCAACCATTGCATCTCTCCTCTGCCTTGACACTGCAATAAGGGCTGCTCTCTGAGTCTGAGACTCAGAATGGGAAGACAGGAAGACGTGTCAAACAGCAGATGACCTGCAGCTGTCATGTAACCTGAGTGAGAAAGAAACTTTCACTGTTGTCAAACAACAACAACAACAACAACAACAATAAAACTTTACTAAAGGTTAACTACAAACCACGGAAAACAAGAACAGACTAAAAATCATAAAAGAGAATGAAAATTTGTAAAAGAACTATTATAAGGAGGTCACTAGGCTTACAATTTTTATGGATAAGTTCATTCAAACTTTAAAAAAACAAAAGAGAGACTTGCTCTGCTACGCAAAGTACCCCTAAACATAGAAAAAGATGGTAAGTTTCTCCAGTTTCAGGTTAGCAAAATCTTATAATGACAGTATATTACAGATAAAGA